AACCTATATTTAGAGACGTCCTTCATTTTTTCCTCGCCATCTCTGTCTGCAAGTGTTCAATAATGTAAAATATTTGCAACTAAGACAAACTTTTAAGGATTAAACATGCACTTTTGTGTTCTCATTTATCAGTGCCTATGTGTATGCACTTTTACCTGCAGAAAAGAATAAATAAAATGTCTTTTTCGTATACGTTCTTGAGCTGAATCGTAGGCCGAACTTCTATCACAAAGCTCAGGAACTTGACACGAATAATATCTACTATGAAGGGGAATTAGCTCAAGTGATAGAGCGCTCGCTTAGCATATGAGAGGTACTGGGATCGATACCAATGCACCAATCGAGAGATCGAAGTGTAATTATTTTAGATTGACGGGTTTATTGTTACGCTCTTCTGCGTGGAGGTATATTTCTTCGTTTGAATTTCCCGGTTTTTTTTGTTTTTTTTTTTTTTTACTTCTGCGATAGGATTTTTATTACATTCCAACGAAGCATATCAGTTTTACATATTTAAGCACAAAAGGCAGTCATTATTAATTTTAACCTGCCGATTTCTTGTAATGTCATTGGATAAATGTGAAGATTGTTTTCTATACATTCTAAGTGATTCATACACAACTAAATATCATTATTATGCATGTAAGATATGATTATGTTCATAAAAACTTGCATATATCATGTTTAGCATGATCGAACATTTTATGTATTAAAATGAAAATTTCTGTAAAAAATTCGATATTAAGAGCAATTCAGTAAGATACAATATTACAATTTTTACACGTTGTATTATTGACCTAATATGGTATAGACATGGTACATCATATTTGGAGTTCAAGTCCAATATAAAATTAAATTATTACCATATTTTGTCAACCCAATACAGTGAAACAAATAAAAAAATAAATAATGCAAATTCATATTCATGAAATTCCAGTTATAAACTTGAAATTACATACTTATTTGTGAGCAAAAATCCTCCTTCATGTCCAAGATCAGGCATGCCCATCTTATATGAAAACAAAGTTTAAAAGATCATAATTCAAATATTTCTTGGCATGTGAAATTCCAGTAATTAACTCAATCTTTTTTAGTCAGCATTGCATTCAAAATGATACATGAATTTCAAACGTGTTTTATATTTACATAAAATATGGATACAAAATATGTCCAGAGCAAAATAAAACTATATTAAGCACTGTTTATATATAACCAGTACCTGAGGTACACATACTGTGTACTTGAGGTACATATCATGTCTTATTATATAACAAACTCAAATGTGTACTTGGGGTACGGGAGAAGGGGAAGTGAGACCATATGATTCACAACTTGGGTTTATCTAATACCATTGAATTTTCCTTCAAAATCATTTTTGTGCTTTTGAGGGAGATATCAAAATTGTGAAGAACTTGCTACTAAGGCACGAACGGATGGTGAAAACCATATATTCCTATTGCCTACAATACAGAAAAAGGTCATCCAGAGCTCATTTAGAAGATAAATGGCCATAGTACAATCATGAACGATGAAGAAAATAACACTAAAACAAATATATATATAGCAAAACCACATATTGAAAAAAAAAAAAAAACCACCACGATAACACCAAACTATACATGCCAGCCATGACTTTCTGTAGAAACGCTTACAAACAATGCACAAACAAAATTTCAGTAGACATCAGACAAACAGGGAAGAAGAGTATGCAGAGGCAAGGAAAGAGAAGCATGGAGATGAAGACACCTGTACCGTTCAAACAGGTGAAATGTGACCACACAACTGTTAAATTTCTTTTTATTAGTTTCCAGAATATGAGAAAATCCCCACCGAAAGGCCTATAGGCCTGAACAGTCACCTCATCCTTATATAGCCATGGTAGTTTTAATGACCCAACATGGGGATTACAATGAGACTTGACACGAACATTATTTATTATGTAGGGGAATCAGCTCAAGTGGTAGAGCGCCCGCTTAGCATGTGAGAGGTACCCGGATTCTCTACTTTTTTCTCTCCCATTCTGATCTCCTAGTTTACTGACCTCCGTTTCACTCTGGTAGTACCTCTGATGTATCCTTCCACTTTTTTCTGGATTAAGGTTCAGCCACAATGCTTCCCGAAGTCAATCGATGCTTTGTGTTACAAGGTGTCGCGAAAAATGTTCCCCAAGTTGAAAGTGGGAGCGGAGGGGTTTCGACCAACAAAAGCTCATCTTACATGCACTGTTCGATTCGAGATAAGGTCTAAGAACATACATTATTATAAGTATCTGCATTCATACTCTGCAACTAAATATGACACATCATTGGTTTTCTAATTAATCGTTTATACATAACAGTATACCGAGACGGATTTCAACAGTTGTAACGGCGCTTTAGTATTGTTCAAACATCTGCTCTCTCTCTCTCTCTCTCTCTCTCTCTCTCTCTCTCTCTCTCTCTCTCTCGTGTAATTTTATATTCAAACATGTCGTCTTGTCTTGTCAATGTGTATTTCTAAGGGGAAGGGACTTAACATAAATTGGAAATGTGTGCCCAATACCATTGTATTTGTTACAATAAAATATCTTGAAAACAAATGATCTCTTTAAAGCTACCCTTACTAATAATGCAACTTGTAGCTGTGATAATCCTCTGTACAGGTACCAATTAAGTCTGTCAATAATTTCATACAATGATATATAAGTGTATTAGCGGACGTGGCTATTACTTGTGTCCCTGTGAAAATAACCTCACTACTTTTTTTTAGAATGTCTGCGTTTTAGAAATGAGAGAAACATTCTAATAGAAAATTTCAGTTGTTAAACTTGGAACTCAACTCAGAAATCATTTTGTTAGGGAAGTCCAAAACTTTATAGATTTTTTTTAATTACATGCATATTTTCATAAAATCCAGCAAAAGATTTTTATCAAGATTACAATAAATGAAATGTTTCAGTACCTTTGTTATCAATTGTACATTAACTACGATTTCATTGATACTGTTATTTAATATCGTAAATTGCCAATCTGTTAGTGGAAGGCGATAATCTGTTATTCTAACTTATTTTTCTGATCATATGTCTTCAGTTGACAATAAACCAATACTCCAAAGGTTACGCTCACAATCGCTCTCTGCACCTCTGAAACATTTCATGGCAAAATTGGAGGCACGTGAAGTAATTTGATTGGTCTAAAACAGGTTTCAGGAGAAAAGTTGTCTTCTCGCATTCTCCATACGGAACCTTAAGTTTGCCATGAAATGTGCTTCCAGGGTTGCAAAGAGCGATAATGAACGCAACACCTGGAGTATCGAGGATACAATCACACACGTCTGAATACAAAAAGGGGTTGTTGCAGTGAGCCGTGATAAGTGAAGTATGATTGTGTTCAAAGTGGATAGCGGTTGTATTAACACCAGATATGGAGCCGGCACGTGATTAAGGACTGAGAGCTGCGACCTGAGAGTGCGGCACCCTGTTCTAACATGTACATAGAAATGATAAAAATCTGCCCATAAATGAACTAGGCATACCAACACCACACAAACGATACAATACCCATGGTGTCCCGTAGAAATAGCTGCATCTGCTGCATGTGGTGTAAATAACTTTGTTTATTCTGGAATTGTAAATACAAGTCATAATAATACGCAATCATTTTACAATACCAAACCAACAGTGGTTCAACCGTCACAATAAAAACTTAGAATTATTGGACTTGGGTAGTGACATGCGAGGATACTGATCAGTTTTATAATTGAGTATTAAGTCACGACTTATCATGAGAAGGTTCTAATTCCAATAGAAACCAGAAATAATAGCCTATGTGTTAGTCATACCCAAAGGACAATGATATCCGTATCACATAAACTATTGACTTTGGCACCTTGCACTAGGATAACTTTTGTAGTTGTAACATGTCACGCTTCCAGAAAGAATAAAAAATGTGATTTAAACCATTCACCATAAAAATATTATGAGTGTATATTTCATTGGCAAATTTGTGTATGTTTTTTCTTACTACACATTTTCGCATGTCAAACATCCTCCTTGATATGATGAAATAACCTATAGATTTATCTCCATATTCCAATGTTTCGTTGTCGTCTGTATGTGAATAAAATAGACAATAAACAATAGGACACACCTTCTCGCTCTTTTTTGGCAACGGAAGTCCAAACTTAGATTATCACCTTTGACGATTTATTTCCAATTTTACTTAAATGGCGAGTTGTAGACCAAGACATGAAAAATCAACTTTACCAAGATATATGGCTCATTTGAGGAAAAAAACACCAAACAATAAAAAAATTTACCCTGTAGAAAAGGTGCACACATAAACACTGATATCCACTACTTGTGCACCATAAACGTATTTTTATTTTCATCAAAATGTCATTCCCGTTCAAATGATGATTTTAATTAGTACATGTGTTGTTCACGTGTCGCATACGCGTGCTGATCATTTCAGGTGAACGAATTTGAGGTCGTATATGTGGATTTTTAGAAAAGTACTGGTCAGTTTTTAAATAAATCTTATAGTATGCACACATTTAAAGTCATTTATGTATTTGTTTGGTAGCATTTAATTAACATTGCGTAGCTAGCAAAAAATATTCTTAAGGGGTCCGAAACTAATGCGCCGAGGATAATATTTCACAAATATATTCTATTCGTACTGCATATGAATCAAATATAACTGTAGTAAATAGACACCCACCTCATTACATAAACAGTTGCAATAATATTACCTGAATGAAAAAGGGGAAATAATCATAATGAAGCATTCAACTTCTTTCCCTGCTGGCGTCGACGTCGAACCCTTTCTGGCAAAAACTCGTCGAAAATTAGAGTTATTTCCCTTCTGTTAAATAATATGGTTGCATCCGGTTTCGTTTGAACATTTCATCTTTACGTTGTTACGCTGTTTTCTTACAGTCTCTTGGAATTAGATCAGTTTGAAGTGATTCACCAATAAGTTTTACTTGCCAGACGCTCCGTGCATGCTGCAACAGTTGTCAGAATGCTTCGGAGCTGCTCATCACGACTGTGTCGAATTTCACCTGTAAAACGTCCTCTGGCTCCGGTCACTGGAACTGTGTCATGTAAACAAGGAAAACACAGAACATCGTTGCACACGTTTCCGCCATGCCGCGCCAAAGTACTGACAATAGACAATATGAATCCTCATTTGAGGGCGATGGAGTATGCTGTACGTGGCCCAATTGTCATCCAGGCTGGCAAAATAGAAGAGGATTTGAAGGCGGTAAGAATTGATAAGCCTACTATAGGCACTGGAGTATAAACAGATAAATTGTAGGGCGGTAACCCCACAGTGTGCCAAACTGATTTACATATGTAATGGTTCGGAATTTGAGTGACAGTTACTGTTTCAAATACAAAGTTTGTAATTTGCAACAGGAAAGGTGTCATATCATTGACACGGCCCAATAACCATTGCAACATGGTGCAATTTGTCACATTTTTTTTACAAGTTGTCTATGTTTTGTAAAAGACTCAAACATTTCTATCTCCATATTTTTATAAGGTGGCTAAAATTATGTAGGCTTTTGGTCATACAAAATACACAAGTCCTTCAGTAGAATTCTTTGTAAGGTTTACTTTATGAATGTAACCCTGGTAAAATACTAACTGCAATATATCGCTCGGCTAGAGAGAACTTCTCTTTATCTGGATTGGTTGAGCATCAGACTAGTAAGCCATGGGTCCTTGGTTCGATTCCTAGCAGAGGCATTGAAATAAATAATGACCTCTATTACATCAAGATGCATGCACAGTCACTTGTGCCTGATGAGCGTACATTCATCTCTCCCACTCGGGTATAAAAAAACATGCACACATGGACAAACCAAGCCAGGATCATGTATTGAATACACAGCTTTTAATTATAACACAAATAGTTAATGCTCACCTATGGCATTTGCACAAATTAAATGCTTCCAAAAGCTATACACTGTAGTAAAAGGAAAACAAAGTCAGTGATTAGAATTGTCATTTTAGTACTATGTTGATAACAGAAATATATTGGACTTGTGTATATGCATAGTGTCACATTGGCTATTTGCTTATAGGAAAAAAATGACACCCTCTAGATCTTTAGCTTAAAGAACTTCATGATTCAAGGCATTCCACATTTGAGTTAAAAATTCATTACTTAAAGCTTTAACTGTGACTTAAACACAGGGCTACTAGGAGTATGTCCAACCTGTATATAGCTGTATATAACTCACATATAAAACATTTCAATGCCAGCAGATGTGAAACTATACCATAGAATTTATTACCCAATGACCATTTAAAACACTCTGTCACTTTGGATTTTGAAGGCCACAACCACATTGGTGACACTCGCAGCTGAAGCAGCTGCAATGATGTCACGTTAACAATAATGCCAGTTTTAGTCCACTATCATCAGATTTAAATTGCTCTACAACCATGATCTGTTGTCTGTTTGTAAACAATTCTTTCTAATTGTTATTTCTTTAAAAATTACTTAATAGATCTTTCTGTAATTTCATACACTTGTAAGTTCCCATTGGTCTCTTAATGTGCTCTTTTAATTTGGGACTGATAAGGAAAACAAAATTGACAGGTGGTTATCTTTGATAACGTTTGTTGTTGCTATTTCTAAGCAATCCTGGATTGATTTCTCTCAAAATTTCTATTCTTGTTTCCTTTGGTCTGTAGTTATGCCATTTTGATTCTGGGATTGAGTAAGAGAAAAAAATGACTGACAGGTGGCTATCTTGGATTTTGAATATGAAAGTTTCCTGCAAAGTGCTGTATGGATCTTTCGCAAATATCATATTTAGGTTCCACATGGCCTGTAATTGTGCCTTTTTGATTTTGGATATGATCAGAACAACAAAATGGTTGATAGGCGACCATTTTGGATTTGACAAAGATTATTATTGCTATTTCTTAGAGGAATTTTCAAATTTCATATCATTAAAAGAAGAATAGAGAAAAGTAACTTGCATAGTACAGATGCCATTGATCATAGTTGGCACTGCCAATCCATTGGAGTCGTCAGCCGAGTCCGTCCTTCACTGAATGTTTCAACCCCTAACTCGGAACACTCTCTGGATGGGAAAAGATCCAACTTTGAAGACCAAACAATGTTGGGTGTCAAGATCCCTTTGGGATCTCATTTTGATATTGTGTGGTCTGAAAGGCGGACAATGGTGGTTGGGTTTTAATATTAGTAGTAGACAGATACCCCGGAACATGATCAGTTGAATGTTTCGTAAAAACCAGAGGGTATGGAATAAGTATTGTTTACTATGTTAGTCTTTTGGAATATTTGGGATAATAAAAAGAGGTGGAGGAGTCCAACGTCCTGTGAGTGGTACTAGCTGGTAGAAGAATTTTTGGAATATTTGTATATTGTACATCTGTAAACTAATGTTCAAAATATATCATCAATCATAGTTTTTATATATGGAACACAGTTATGTTAAAGACATTTCACATGTTCATGGTATATTTGTTCATCTTTTGAAATCAATTCAATGTAACTTTTTTCAGGGTGTAAAGATGCCTTTTCCTGATGTGATAAGAGCCAATATTGGTGATTGTCATGCAACTGGACAACCACCCATCACTTTCCTTAGACAGGTGTGTATCACATTGTCATCAGCAGCTTGGTCAGTAAAACATAAATAAAAAATATTTCGACAAATGAACAAACAGTAGTTTTCAAAAGAATGCATGGACATTATTGGTATATGAATGTGGTGAAAAATCTGCAAGGACCAGCCCATGAGAAAGTAGATTTGCTAGTGTAGGTGTATTAAACACCAATATTATTTAGAGATCAATATTAAAGTCATATTTGGGTCTTTGGTGTAAATCACATATTGTGAAATAATGTGATAATATTGGCTGGGAAATTTTTTAAATTCTGTGTGAATTTTTGAATTATTTAAAGTTTTTATTGTGTTCAATATAGGTGGTAGCGTTGTGTACAGATCCAGCTATGTTGATGAATGATCCACGCTATCCATCTGATGCCAAGGAGCGTGCCCAGCGAGTCCTTGATAGCTGTGGTGGTAGAAGTATAGGTATATCATGTGACATCATCATATTCATTATCTGAGATACATTATATATTTTGGATAAAGTTCAAAACAATTTTTTTGAATGTTATGTTTCTGTGTTATTGATCTTTTCTTACTGAAACACTGACCATATCTTAAAAATAAATGAGCTAACAAACATGGGAAGGGAGGTAACTGTTTTATCACCACCTAGCCATGTACAACCTTGTTAGGCTGTTGCTTTATGAGTAGTGACATCTGTATAATGTGTTGTGTTGATGTCTGTTAGGTGCGTACAGTGATAGCTCTGGTGTGCTGTCGGTGAGACAAGATATTGCTGACTACATTCAGCAGAGAGACGGCCTTCCTGCGTTTTCTGATGACATATTCCTGTGCACGGGTGCCAGTGATGGTATCAAAGTAAGCACCAGAAAAATAAAAATCTCTTTGAAACAAATATGGTTTCATAATGTCATCAATTATATAGTAGATTTAAAAGACAGTTAGCTAGGATAACATCATCGTCAACTTTAGGTAATCTACAATTTGATTCTTCGTAACAAACATTTAGGGCACCACTCATCAACATGAAAAAATTGGAAGATGATTAAGTTACGTTCTTGCCTAAATTTTCCTGTGTAGTTGAATTCTACTGTCTGCCTTTAAATCCAATGTTGTCATTAACAACTTGTTGTAGACGATAATGAAGATGCTGATGACTGGAGACGTTGGGCATGGTCGGGCAGGCGTGATGATTCCTATTCCTCAGTACCCTTTGTATACTGCAACCATAGCCGAGTACAATGCCTACCCTGTAAGTATGTGTGTTCCTATTTATAACATATCAATATCTATGTATATTGTATTGCAAAAACCTCCTGTCTATAAACATCACCCGTATATAACAAAAACCTGTCTGCAAATATCGCCTTTATATGGCAAAAACCTGTCTATAAACGTCATTGCAGGGATCACTCTGGGTTTAGGTGATTCTTCAACAGTATAGATTTTCTGGAGTTTAAAATATAAAAAATTCTATATTGAGATGTGAGGAAAAAGATTTGTATTCAAATGTGTCTTGATAAATAAATAGTATTATTATTATTAATGATTTTTTCTCCTTAGGAAAATTGTACATAAAATTCATGATATTGAAGTTCTGAATGGTCCCTGCATTGTGAAATATTTACATTTTCACGATGGCCTCCCTTTAACTCAGTTTTAATCTGGGTTGTAATCACAGAAGTGTAGATACATTGTAGATTACAAAACATATGACGTTTTGGTGCCATGTTGACCTACATGCATTGCCTCAGAGTAACATGCATTTAAAGCTTTCTTTAAAACATTAAAATGACTATGATTTTCAGGAAGCTATTCCATTAACAGAGAAAAAACCTTTATAATTAGATTTAATATACTTGTTGTTAGTTTAAGATAATATCTGAAATATGAATATGATTATAGGATAACACATGTTATTTTATATATCTCTCGCCCATATTACATCAATATTGATAATGATTACAATCTGACAAATAGGTTATACTTACAAAACATTTTACGGATCACTATGATTTTCTGGGCATATTATCAAGGATTAACATTCCTGAAGTTACAATGTTAACTCTGGTGATCTTGTTAATTAAGAGATACACCAGTACATTATCAAATATTCATTTTGCAAATGCCTGAAATTTTGTTATGACTAGATTTTGTTGGATAGATATAATTGACACCTGCAAAATTACCATCTTTTCTTCAAGATTAAATATTACATGAACGAGGAAAAGAATTGGGGACTAGATATAAGTGAGCTGAAGAGATCAGTTGATGAGGCAAGACCAGAGTGTAAACCAAGAGCTATTGTTATTATCAACCCCGGCAACCCCACAGGTAAGTTGCATATAAACCCTGATAACCTTACAGGTGATTTGTACATAAACCATGGTAACCCTACAGGTAAGTTGTAGGTAACCCTAGAAAACCTATAGATAAGTAGTATAAACTCTGATATCTCAACAAATAGATAGAACATTAACCCGAGTAACCCTACAGGTAAGTTGTACATTAACCCTGGTAACCCAACAGGTGATTTGTACATTTACCATGGTAATCCTACAGATAGGTTGAAAGTAACCCTAGAAACCCTACAGGTAAGTTTTACCTTATACATAAACCCTGTTAGGTTAGCCTTACTTAACCTCAACTGCCCTCCTAGCTGGATGTAGACTGGAACTGACATGCCTGACTTCCAGGAATTCAGTCTTACAAAAGGCATTCCTATTACATGGAAATCCTACAGTGGGACTACAGGGCAGTGTTTGAATATTCTATAATGTGACTTATGTGAAATTTGTACTGAGTGGTGTGGTGACTAAACTTGGTCATTTACCTGAGATAAATGATTCTTTGATCTAATGTAACCTGAGGTGTGACATGTCAGGAAAGGCAAGTGAAATTGACTGGTCCACTCCACCACACTATAAGAGTAACTTATCATCAAAACATACATAAGTGTGAAACTGTAACCAAGGAGAGGGGGAGTCAGTGTGGACACATTTATTAAATAGTACTTGATCCTCGATGTAGGTGAGTTTACAGAACCTCAGGAACCCAGAAGATACCCGCTACATTATACACAGATGGCTTCTTTCATATATGTCCACAATTTTAACATGATGGTTTTTGTTAGACATCATTTTATTGCATTATTAAATACTTTTCAGTGTTAGAGATGTGATCACATTTTTATAACAAGGAAAATTTATCCTGTTAAGATCTGTTATTGTATTGTGTACTATATTGTGATTGGAACAAAATTCTTCAGACTAGCACCTCAAGGGATAATGATGATAAAATGTCTATTTTTCATATAGGTTCAGTTTTATCCAGACAAAATATAGAAGATGTGATAAAGTTTGCTAAGGATGAAGGATTGTTTATTTTAGCTGATGAGGTAAGTAAAGGTAACAGTTTCACGAAAATATGAATATTTTATATGGAAAGAGAAAGCTAAATGTGTAACTTATATTTATTATAACAAATGAAGTTTCGATCAATCTTATCCAACAGTAATTAATTTTTTTTTTCTTAATGATTAACGGTTATATTATGTCAAGTGATATAAAAAGATCTCTTTGTCCACTGATGGAAAGTGTTCAAAGTTTCCACCACACAAGATGAAACTTTTTCTTGGCTTTCATTAATGCCAGTTTGAATGAGATGTTCTGTCTTAGATCATCTCTGTACCAAATGGTATACTACAGTTTTACATCTAAGAAACAAGTCTTAAAGAATATAAAGTAAGTATATACAACATATAAAAATACTCTAATAGATGCATAGCAGGAAATTTTAGCATTTGGTGGCTTGATGTAAAGGTTGCGAAAATTTAAATCATGAAAGGTTAACATGATCAATTTTAAAGATGTCGACATTTTGGTCCTTCACTATTTTGTTTCATTTCTCTTGCTATAGAAAACATCATAGAATATCCATTGATATAACTAGTTGCCATAGCTTGGCATGACATAATGTCCAGAGACAGAGTAGATATGGACAGAATAGATACAGTGGACAATGTCCATGATTTGGGTTCAGCTAGGACAGAATGACCTCAATGAATGCTTAACGTTTCATACATTGTCATTGCTACTGCATTTATCTCCCCTGGTGGTTCATGCTACTGGTTGTTTCTTCTTGTTGTGTGGGACAGCATTTATTGACTTCTGGTTGACATTGACGAGAGGCATCATCAAGCTCTAGCTGGTATTGACAATATGTATATGTTTAGCAAGTGTTTATTGTTTAAGTTACAAATCTAAAATCAAAATCTCAGAATTTTGTGAAATGGCAAAAAAGTTAATTTCAAAGTATCAAGTATCCAAGTTTCACTTTTCAAGGCAAAATTACCAAAAAAATGACCATTAAAACTTCCAGCTATAGGATATTAAATTCAGATCTAGCAGTACCAATCTATACAGTAAAATGTCCTTCCATTTTATCAGACTTTGTTTTCCCAACATCTACCACGTTTGTCATTCCTTAAGGGTATGGTAATGCATCCTGGGAGAAATTGATATTCATTACAAATACTGTGACATGATTAAAAATGAGAGAAAATATCACCGGCAATATTTTTTGTGATGGTACAAATTTTACCTGTGAAACCCATTAAGATGTCACAATGTTATGAACTTCCTTTGTTTTCTGTTCAGGTATATCAACACAATGTATATGCAGAAGGATCTTCCTTCCACTCATTTAAAAAGGTGATGACAGAGATGGGAGGAGATTACAAAAACATGGAGCTGGCATCATTCATGTCCGTCTCCAAGGGATACATGGGAGAGTAAGTAATATAGGGAAGAGAGTGTAAGTGTTGTATATGTCACAAAAAATGTGTATGACCTGATAAGGGTACAGGGTTTAGGTAATCAATGATCATGGCACCCAATTAAGAGTTGTTATCGGAAATATTTATAAATCAGTATAAAAGTTATAGCTGGTTTCAGGTAGCTTCTAATACAATGGACAATAAAGATAGAAGTTTGAAAAACAGTACAGCAAACGTTCTCGCAAAACTATTGATGCTGTAAATAGTGGGCTAACTAGACAGAAATATTGTTAAGTCATTCGGCCAGGAACATGCCTATATATGCATTAGATACTTCAATTTTTAACAAAGTAAGTGTACGATATATTTATTACATCTCCATACCAACTTGGTGCTCTTAGTCTGAGATTTTTTTCTTAAAAATTGCAGTGGTGTCCTTATTAGGGCAGACACCCATTTTAGGTCATATATGGTAATTAGTATTTTACTGTAGCGTAAGTTTTGCATACTTTCTTATCCAATCATATCATGTTTTAAAGTAAATATTAGTAATATCATCTGTTTAAAACCATACAACAGGAAGATTAACTTTACACCCAAATGAATAGCCAAGGTACAATTTCAAACTGACCATATATTGATCATTTTTCAGGTGTGGATTTAGAGGGGGTTATTGTGAGGTCATAAACCTTGACCCTGAGGTTAAAGTTCAACAATTGAAATCAATTTCAGCAAAACTGTGTTCTTCTGTATCTGGTCAGGTAAATTTTATTTCATCTTTCATTTCTTTTCAGGGAAGTTCATTTATTTTACTTAAGTGATTTGTGCAGTTGGAATTTTTTCCACACAATTTTACAGAATTACTTTTTAAAACCTATTAAACTTAAAATGGATATTTTGTCTAAAAGACGAAAAATATCTCAAGTTTTTAGTAAAATCACCTGGCACATGTTATTGTTTTGGAAGGATTTTAGTTGAATTTCACAATCTGTTCATATCACTGAAATTCTGAAATGTTTTTCTGTACTTTGTTGATGATGAAGCATTTTGTAGGCAGCCATGGATGTAGTGGTGAATCCTCCACGGCCAGGGGAGCCATCGTATGACCTCTTTATCAAGGTAAGTTTACTACATCACTAAGTATGAATTCCCCAAATCTAGGAGATCCTCTTTCAATCCCTTTATCAACTAATGTAAGTTTACTACGTTGCTAAGTATGAATCCCCAAGTCCAACAAGAGAGCCTTCATACGACCTCTTTATCATAGTTAATTTACATTGATGGGTGATGAGAAGGAGAGTGGTCACTGACTTGGCCCTGGATAAGAACCATTATTGTTATCTAACAGCAAATTACAGCCAGACCAGTGTCAGAGTAAGATATGTAGGTTAAACTGTGATACAAATTCTGATAAAAAGTTATCACCATTGAAAGAAAAAAAATTAAATATTTATTTAGTGAATATAACAAATTTAGATTCACTGTACTTTTTATTTTACATTTATAGGAGAAAAACAAAGTTTTGAATGATCTGAAAGTGAAAGCTAAGATGGTTACAGAAACATTCAATAGCATGGAGAGATTCTCCTGTAATGAAGTTAAGGGAGCCATGTATGCATTCCCACAAATACATATGCCAGAGTCTGCTGTACAAGCTGCTAAGGTAGGTAATAAGTACTTATCACCATGACATGTTACACTTACATTCGGCAATGAGACGATACTCTGACACAGGAGGAGTCACAGTAACGGAAAACCTGTCAGTAGATATTGATCTTCATATCAGTTTTGTATCATGGTATCAAATGTGTTAACCATCCTTTGTACTCAAGGGATTATGATCACTTTCGCTGTCTACACCCTGGAACATTACCTGGCAAAATTGAAGACTCAAGCAAAAAAATTTATTGGTCTACAGGGGGTCTCAAGCAAATTAAAAACCTGACCAGTCACAGACTGATACACTCCTTTTAACATTACAAAGGAGCGAAACTCAACTTCAAAGCTAATACAATATACCATTATGTGACCTCGAGATTCATTTGATGTACAACAAAGGATCATCTAGCTTTCTTGTTTTATCCACTAGGTGTAGCACAGGGAACCTTCAATGTTCTCATGACAACTTCCAGGGGTGCAGAGAGCAATAGTTAGAGTAACACTTAGAGTAACAGTTAGAATAACAGTTAGAGTAACAGTTAGAACAACAGTTAGAACAACAGTTAGAGCGACAGTTAAAATGACAGAGCAACAGTTAGAGCAACAGTTAGAGTAACAGTTAGAGCAACAGTTAGAGCAACAGTTAGAGTAACAGTTAGAGCAATAGTTAGAGCAACAGTTAGAATAACAGTTAGAGCAACAGTTAGAGCAACAGTTAGAATAACAGTTAGAGCAACAGTTAGAGCAATAGTTAGAGCAACAGTTAGAATAACAGTTAGAGCAACAGTTAGAGCAACAGTTAGAGTAACAGTTAGAGCAATAGTTAGAGTAACAGTTAGAGTAACAGTTAGAGCAATAGTTAGAGTAACAGTTAGAGTAACAGTTAGAGCAACAGTTAGAGCAACAGTTAGAGCAACAGTTAGAGTAACAGTCAGAGTAACAGTTAGAGCAACAGTTAGAGCAACAGTTAGAATAACAGTTAGAGCAACAGTTAGAGCAACAGTTAGAGTAACAGTTAGAGCAATAGTTAGAGTAACAGTTAGAGTAACTCTGGAGTATTGAGGATGAAGTATTAACAATAATTCATTACATAAGGAATATAATAACAACATTGATGTATTTGTTCAACTTTGAAATAGCTGTCGTTAGATGTGAAAAGAAAAGTAGTTTTTTGTCTTACATTGATCAGAAGCCTAGACATTGAATTCACCTGTCAGTGCTTGGTTGTAATATTAGTGTTACTGTTAATCCAAATCAAAACACAAACACATGTATGAAATATAATGTCTGATTTTAATGTCTCTTTAGAAACTTTAAGTAGCTAACCTAATCTGGTCAGAATTACTTAAAATTAGAAAATAAATGACATATCAACAGTGACATTTTATGATTGGTGGAAACAGTTCAACAGTTTATGTGATTTCAAATAAAAAGTTATATTAACTGCAATTAAAGAAAAAATGAAAAGGCTTATAAACTGTGTGTTTCTGAAAATAGATCATTTCTGAGTGATTGGTGAAAATGCATGACAAATTATGATATAAATTTGAGAAACTTACTTTGTATTAATGGTACATAAATCTGAAAATTATATTTCGTAATGATAATGTATACCTTTAATAAATATGCTTCGTATTATGATATAGATACGAGAACCATACTTCGTATTGTGATATAGATACGAGAACCATACTTGGTATTGTGATATAGATACGAGAACTATACTTCATATTGTGATATAGATACAAGAACTATACTTCGTATTGTGATATAGATACGAGAACTATACTTGGTATTGTGATATAGATACAAGAACTATACTTTGTATTGTGATATAGATACGAGAACTATACTTTGTATTTTGATATAGATACGAGAACTTATACTTTGTGTTGTGATATAGATACAAGAACCATACTTCGTATTGTGATATAGATACGAGAACTTATATTTTGTATTATGATATAGATACGAGAACTATACTTCGTATTGTGATATAGATACGAGAACTTATACTTGGTATTGTAATATAAATACGAGAACTATACTTCGCATTGTGATATAGATACGAGAACTATACTTCGTATTGTGATATAGATATGAGAACTATACTTGGTATTGGGATATAGATACGAGAACTATACTTCGTATTGTGATACAGATACGAGAACTATACTTGGTATTGTGATATATATACGAGAACTATACTTGGTATTGTGATATAGATACGAGAACCATACTTCGTATTGTGATATAGATACGAGAACTATACTTGGTATTGTGATATAGATATGAGAACTATACTTCGTATTGGGATATAGATACGAGAACTATACTTCGTATTGTGATACAGATACGAGAACTATACTTGGTATTGTGATATATATACGAGAACTATACTTGGTATTGTGATATAGATACGAGAACCATACTCCGTATTGTGATATAGATACGAGAACTATACTTCGTATTGTGATATAGATACGAGAACTTATACTGGGTATTGTGATATAAATACGAGAACTTTACTACGTATTGTGATATAGATACGAGAACTATACTTCGTATTGTGATATAGATACAAGAACTATACTTTGTATTGTGATATAGATACGAGAAGTATACTTTGTATTTTGATATAGATACGAGAACCATACTTCGTATTGTGATATAGATACGAGAACTTATACTTTGTATTGTGATATAGATACAAGAACCATACTTCGTATTGTGATATAGATACAAGAACCATACTTCGTATTGTGATATAGATACGAGAACTTATACTTTGTATTGTGATATAGATACAAGAACCATACTTCGTATTGTGATATAGATACAAGAACCATACTTCGTATTGTGATATAGATACGAGAACTTATATTTTGTATTATGATATAGATACGAGAACTATACTTTGTATTATGATATAGATACGAGAACTATACTTCGTTTTTGTGATATAGATACGAGAACTATACTTTGTATTGTGATATAGATACAAGAACTATACTTCGTATTGTGATATAGATACGAGAACTATACTTTGTATTGTGATATAGATACGAGAACTATACTTCGTATTGTGATATAGATACGAGAACTATACTTCGTATTAGTTATACACGTTTTTTTCATTATGTACACTTTAAGAATGAATCAATCAAAAACATGAATGATAAATGGTACACACCACAGGGACAGTAAACTCCTACGTTAATAGAGTATTTTTGTTAGTGATATACATTTCTAGACCATGAAGTTATTTTCACGACATGGTATGTTTCTTTAGGACAATGTCAACGACAACGACAATTCTGGAATCCATCATTAACTCAGAACGTGAGGCTTCTTATATCGACATGTGTAAATGATATCAAAATATGATTTTATAATGAAATTAAAACCAGTTAATGTTTCTCCTTAAATAATAAAACAGTGTATTAACTTGATCAAAAGACAATACATGTGTAGTGAATTTGCATCCATTTTCTATTTTATGATATCATTAAATAGGTTATGTATCAAGATATATACATCGTAGAAGTTGATTATGGTACTGCTCGGTTGAAATATGAATTGGTTCATTAAACGTTGATAATCATAACAGTCAAAATATGTACATAACATTGAGTGATCAGACTTCTGACAGGTAATATTCATATGCACGCAATAGAACTTGTAAATGCATTTAACACTTAGTCTGCTACACATGAAATCGGTGTTTTTGAATTCTGATTTTGAAGTTTTTTTGGTTTTTTTTTTGTTAAAGATTACAATTATTTAAAAGTGCTATACAGTATTCTTTGTAAAATTATCATATGCACCGACATTCATTCCAGCACATCAAGGCCAAACTATTTCTGTTGAAGTTGGTATGATCTCAAACAACAGTAGATTGTTCATGCATAAATTTCTTGAGATAAAGCTTGACTGGGTTTATTAAAATCCTTAGCGATCCTTTCGGCCGACACACACTATCATTTTCCTGTGCCTGATAAACAGCCTGTTTGTGATAATAATTGCGAAAGAAGTGGCCATTAAGACAGCTGTAGATCCCATTTTCACTTAAGATGAGGTCTTTCATGACAAAAGGTACACACATATTCCTTTCGAATTAATACTGTAAATCCATACAGTGTATACTGTAAATAGTATGAATGGTTTTAGATAACTGTCCTTTAAAGAAATGCAGAGCATGCATCTCGTCATTTATTTGACTGAATGGTTTTCGTCAAAGGTTCCGTCATAAGTTGACAGAAGTTTCAAGGACAAGTGTCAGACATCTGTTCACACAATATTCTGGACCACAATAAAATTTTAGAAACTAAGTAGAACTGGTTTGTTCCAAAACACTATGACATTTTCTCACGCTACGATGAATACCTAATATTTTCCTTTGCTGAGGTTAAAAATATTATATATATATATATATATATATTTTTTTTTTCTAAAAATTAATATCGATTATTCACTGACCTTGATGACCAATACTCCTTTACTAAATACAAGTCTACTTCGGTGATATGCACTGTACTTGTATTTTAGTGGATAATTTCGGACCGTCACGTGCAGTGCTCGGACATGAGGTTCTCCCTGTCTTCCATGCATCTCTTATGTTGTACAGGTCAGTATTAGAGGTCAGGAACTGATTGATTTGAGCGTATTCTTTCCCTTTAAAGTACTTCAATGTTACAGCGGGTGGTGATGAGACGGGCAAGCAGTTTACATCCGTCACTCGTTGGTTGTAAAGTATATCTCCCAGGGGTTGCCTTTTGTTTGGAATTTTATACAACAGCTTCATTGTTATGTATGTACCGCCTGCTGCTTGAGATGGAATACCTGGGCATTGTGCTGATGGGAGAGGATTCGCCATAGAAGCCGTTGTTACTTTGTAACACGATGTTGATTCACCAGACAAAGTGGACACTTTCTTCATCCAAACATATTGTGGAGTGATGAGGACACTAATCTCGATATTGGCAGACTGATCCGGAAATTTCG